AATGATAAAATATTATTATAATATTGCAGTTCCGTGAACTCGTGCCGAAGTTGCAACAAGATCTCTTCGCAATGCGATCATGCCTTCATAATTACACACATGTTATTTAACACCTCAAGCCCCTTAAAAATACCGTGCAGTCTGTCGCGTGCGCCCGGCAGATACCAAGCGCTCGCAAGCGACCGCACTCACCCACAGCACTTAAATCCGTTAAAAGTTATATTTAGAGATGACTTTTCTGTAAAGAAGTTTAGCATTATAAAATCTATACAAAATTCTCTATCTTTTGGTCTGAACAAAAGTCAGGTATTACTTCATTACAAAAAGATTTTATTGTATTTTGATAACAAAAAGAAAATATACTAATTAATTTACTAGAAATTATTTACGTAAATAGATAAATTGTATTCACACAAAAACTTTCATTACAATTTTATAATAAAACATTATACTAAATTACTAGAAAAATCCAAAAACCAACACAATAACATTCACGCGAAAATGGCGTACGAAATAAACATAGATTTTGAATAAATATTCATAAGATAACAGTTGTTTTTATTGCATTAGAAGATAAAATATTTCATATTGATTATATCATGCCAAACTTCTTCATAGAAAAGTAGTCTCTAAATATAAGTTTTTATGGGTTAAAGTGCTGTGGGTTGGTGCAGTCTCATGAGACCGCTAGGGATTTGACGGAATATGCCCGCGGGCTCATGCGATCGCTCGGGGGCTGAGAGGTATCTTATACATTTTGATAGCGCCGTATTACCTTCTTAATAAGGAAATGTGTCATAGTAGACAACGAGTCGCCAGTCGTCTCGTATTAAATACATATTTATGGTATCAAAATAGAGACTGCTGATTTGTAATGGTGTTATGTTGTAGGTGCATTGTACTATCGAGATGATTGCAATAAAGAATAATAATAACGATTTAATCGTTTATGATAAACAATATTTTCCTTCTGCTTGATATAGGCATTGATTTGTTTTCATTTCCTTGATTTTGTTTTTCTGTTGAACTTCTTGTCCCTACTTGATTTTGCTCAACTGATAAAACTGAAAGCTTCACGGTTGGCCGTTGTAAAGTTTCGTTTTTGGTTCTAAGGGTGACAACTCTGACGTATTTATCATTACGTACTCGTCACAGCTGCACAACTAGGCCAAGTGGTCACTTTCCTGAAGGAAGGTTTTCGTCCCTGATAATGATGATGTCTTTGATATTTGGCTGCAACATTTTACATTCACTTTTGGGGGCTAATTGAGTTAATTACTCATTTCACCATCTTTCCCAAATATCGTTAAATAGTTTTTGGATTAAATACCACCTCTTCCCTAAATCAGTTTTGGTATGGTAATCAGAGCAGGTGTTAGAACGTCTATCGTATCTTTGGTTAATGCACAAAGAGGTCTTGATTTGTCTAAACAGACATCCCTCCAGTTGAGAAAATAGGGTGTCGTATTTTTCAAAAGTAAGCGCATGTTTGCCAACTACGCGCTGAAGAAGATATTTTAAGATTTTAACCTCAGTTTCCCATAATCCGCCCGCTGATGGCCAGGCGCGAACATTAAAGTGCCATTTCTGGCAACTCCTGACCTAATGTTTGGGCTGAATATTTCTTCAATCGCTAAATACTTTCGTTGCAAAATATTGTTAGTGCCTATGCAATTGCGACCTTGGCCACTGTAGACTTATCCGGGAGTTCTTTGTCTTGCTGCCATGCGGCGTAATGCTGCTCAAAATGCTGATGATATCAAATCTGATACTTGTTTCAGATGTACGGATTTTGTGCACATATAAACGAAAACTCCGATATATCCCTTTGTAGTCTTGCCACCACAACCCTTCTTGGCCTTCACGGTTTAAAAACCACTGTAATCAACATCTGTATGAAAGAAACGTCCCGATGGATCCGATCTTGCTGAGGTTAAGTCTCCCATGATTTGATAGTTTTGGTCAGGGCTGTGTCACCAACATTTAACACCGTGGCGAAGTCTTGATTTAGTGGTTCTAATACCGCTGAGCATCCAGTACTTTCCAAAGTCAATCCAATCCAAAACCAAAGCAAATAAATGAATGTGAACTGAAACTATCTCCACTTAATAATGAGAATTTGGAGATCATAATATTGTTGGTTAGGCCCCCTACACGTGAGATCATTAAAGCTAAGCCTACTTAATGTTTTGATTAGCCATTAAATACCACACGTAATTGCATTGTCTCAGATTCGGGGCGTTCGACACAATGATGAGTTAAAAAGCATTCAGGGGTCATATTACCGTCTTTACCTATGGGTATCATGTGTTCGAATAAAAAATATTCATTAAGTACTAAATAATTTATACTGTTGTGCAATATTTAGATGTTTTTGAAATTTTTGTTCTAATTTAAAAATTGTCCGATCACTTTGTTTTTAGATTGTTTCAAATTTTCTTGATAGTTGGGTTTCATTGGCAGTCTGACTTCATTCCAGCTATCCTCCGACCTGCTTCTCGGCGTTTGGTAGTGGCTTGATAATATTGAAGGCAACGTTGAGTTTGGTATATCTCCAAGCTCCCAAAACTTGTAGATATCTTCATAGTTATGTAGCACCAAATTACATTGAAAATTTTTCACGTTGCCACAGAATATCCATCACAACTGCATTTGTTGAGCCGTCGGCAGGGTACAGTTTACTCTACAAATGCCATTATATAATATAGCAGAGTATACACAAGCGCCTATTAGAATGTCCACTGGACGACTGATGTAAAATGCGGGGTCTGCTAACTTGATATGGTCTGGGTATGTCCAATCCGGTTTTAAAAATGTGTTCATGATAAGTGCCTTCGTCTCGAACTTAAAGTCTGTAATAAGTGATGAGCATTTTACGGTATTTAACTCTTTTCAATCACTTTCTTTATCGCTCACACCTGATATTACACCCTTGCAGCTTCTTCTTGGTAATCCTAATAACTGAGCAGCCCGTTCCGTTATTAAAGGTGTTTGGGAACCCTGGTCCAATATGCAACGCATTTTATGAAGTGTTCCATCTGCTAATTCCACCTTGATAATCGCAGTTGGTAACAATACTTCGATCGGTTCCTTCAGAAGTGACACGTGCGAACTACTTTTGACGTATTCCTCGGAGTAAGCATTTGAATAACTGCAATACAAATATACATGTATACATGTTTGTTTGATTGTTTCTTGTAAAAGGATATTATGATCCTTATCGTATTCACGACAACGTTTATCTGAAAGACATGCCATTCCACAGTGGTTATATAGGCAATTTGGACAAAGATTTAATTTTGTGACCATTTTACTTCTATTGCTTGGAGACATTACATATCTAAAAATTTTACAGAAATTAATCTCGTACTCACTGCTATTGCACAGAGTGCATTTGTATTTAGTCATGATAGTTTTGCTGCATAATTATTTAGCCGTCATCTGTATGCTTGACGAAAATGAATTTTTGTAGTTATTCGGTTTTTGATTATTATTGTTATAGAGCTTCAAAGTTTCCTCGATATTTTTGTGTAGGATTATCTTGATTTCTACGAGCTGATTCTAACGTAATAAATTTGGTTTCCAAAAAAATCTAAAAATTCGTTCAGCATGGATAACTCTCTTGGGTGCTTAACGAATTCAATATATACTTCGTATGATTCGATGTCCAGTTTTTGCGATAAAATGTATACATAATGGTTTCCTATATTTACGCGAACACTATACATTGATTAAAACTACTTTTACGGATTTTATCGCGTTTTATTTATATTAATTTTAATACCCGACGTTTCGACGACGAATTGACATCTTGATTCAATTTCTCGGAGTATTTCTTAATTAGATCGTTAGTTGTTTTAAGCGTATTAGTTGTAGGGTCTGTTTTGACCTTACGGTATGTACTTTCATCCGACAAAAGTTGTTGTATTTAAAAATTGTAATCCGACGTATCCATTACAACCGTAGCATTTCCTTTATCTGCGCGGAGAATTGTAAGCTCTGGTCTGTCGCGTAAGGTTTTTAACGCGTTAAATTCATTTTTGGGAAGATTTAATTTCGGCGCCTTCGACGTAACATAGACGAAATGTCTTGGCGTATGGCCTCTAAATCTTCATTACCAATATTATTTTTATACAGACAATCCTCAACACTACAGATAATGTCTTCATACGGGATTATTCGCGGTATAATTGCGTAATTAAAACCTCTTCCTAAAACTTTCAATGTGGCGTCGTCCAGAGTTTGTTTTGACAGGTTATAGACCAAGCCTTGTTTACTATTCGTGCCTGTGGTCGTTTCGTTCTTACGTTGTCATTGATGTTGGACATTTGATTTAGTTAATAATAATAATAATAATAATAATAAAAAGGCGTAGGGAATTGACGACCCCATCTCACGCTGACGTAACAGTTAAGTGACAAAACTGCTACGTCAACGCAGTCAGTCAGCGCCTTGCCGAGAGGTGTGAGCGCCGTGCCTCGGCAGTACTCAGGGTGCAGAGGCCCGTTTGTGCTTACGGACGTACAATGAACAACGAAACGGTGCCGGGCCTGGGCGTCTCCCGCTAATTGACGCCCAAAAATGGATGATGGATAAGAAGATAGTGCGCAAAGGGCCGCTGCCTGGGGGTCGCCGGGGCACGTCTGGAGCTGGCGCTGGACGCGGCAGCATGCGGGCCGCCAGCCGAGCGCGAGGAGCTGCACGGTCACCTAGCAGCCCCCCGCATCCATCATCCCCACCAGACGGCTTGGTGTCGGCTGGGTCTTCTCGGACTCGGCAAGCGGCATCAGCCGCTGGTGGAGTACGCCGCATGCGTTGGTCACAAGCAATGAACGCAAACGCATTGCGGGCGTACTATAGGGCAAAAGGGGAAGAAACTGGATGTATGGCGTATCGGGCTCGGATGCATCGTCTTTTTGCTGAGCTGGAGCCGTCTTTACCCGTCACAGAGCAAAACCTGGCAGACCGAGTTCGGTACATCTTGCGATCAAAAATATTCGATGTCGCCGAGCTCGAACGGCTACAACGTGAGGCTGTTCCCTCATCGAATGAGAATGCTACGGCTGAGGATGCGGCGCCACAGGAGACAACCAGCGCCAAACGTGGATGCCACCGTGAATATCCCAGTTGTGGGTGATTCAAACGATGATGGAACAGTCGCCCAGGAACTAGAGCAAATGAGGAGTACATTGGAAGAGGCGATTTTGGAAACGCGCAGCACGCCTCTCGAAAATCGACGGCGACTTCCCCGCATACCCCTAAGCAAGCGAAATCGGGCTGTCGTGAGGGCTCTGAACCCAATGCTGGTGACCTATTTGGAAGCCAGCCGGGACCTATGCGAGACGGACTCAATTCTTTTTGGCGCCGCAGTGGCACTCTGCCGTATCATAGGCGCCAAGGTTTCACACGGCTGGACGCGCTACTGGCCATAGTAGCGCCATCCCAGCATGGGGAAGAAGAATTGAGGAACGTATCGCAAAGGCAAGAGCCCTTATCGGCAGACTGACATGCTTCAGATCAGGCAACAACAGGCCGAGAATTGTGCGCACCGTCAGGATGGCGTTTGCTGGGACAAATATCAGTTTGTCCCAGCCGGATATAACGCAAAAACTGACGGAGCGCATAGACGATCAGAAGCAGAGAATCGCTGCTTGGTGAAAGCGGATTCGCCGATTTACCGAGAGGTCGACACGGTTCAACCAGAATCGTCTCTTCCAGAGTGATCAGAAGAGGCTCTACGAATCATTGGAGCGACCAATGGTAAGTGGAACGGGCCCAGCACCGAATCAGGCCGACACTGTAGCATTCTGGCGCGGCCTGTGGTCAGAGCCCGTAAACCACAGCGAGGGCCCTTGGACGGAAGTTGTGGCGAGTCAGTGTGCGGGTATTACGCCCATGGACCCCGTCATCATAACGCCGGATGACGTAGCTGAGGCGGTCCGTAGGGCCCCGAACTGGAAAAGTCCGGGGCTTGACGGGCTGCATCACTACTGGCTGAAGGGGTTCATGATGTGTCACTCTGTGCTCGCCCGACAGTTTCAAGAGGCTCTCAACCAGACGTCGCTCCAAAGCCTCTTCACTACTGGGATCACTCATTTGGTTCCTAAAGACCAGGGTACCACAGATACGAGCAAATACCGCCCCATCACGTGTCTACCGACCATATACAAGACACTGACATCCAACAACGCGCCAAGACGGTGGAACCAAGGAACCACTCCTCATTGACGCGGTCATTGGCAAAGTGGTGAAACGCAACCGTCGGAACTTCTCCGCCGCCTGGATAGACTACAGAAAGGCATTCAACTCGATGCCCCATACATGGCTAAAGAGAGTCCTCGAGCTGTACAAGATAGACTGTACAGTTAGAGACTTCCTCGAGCAGTGTATGGGGCAGTGGAGTACGATCCTTTGTCATCTGGGCGAGCGGATGATGGCTGCGGAGAACCACATAAGGATAAGAAGGGGTATCTTCCAGGGCGATTGTCTGAGTCCAATCTGGTTCTGCCTCTCTCTGAACCCTCTCAGTACCTTACTGGAGGGCTCCGGGAGGGGATTTCAGCTACGGAAAGCAGGGACAAAAGTGACCCACCTTTTCTATATGGAGGACCTCAAGTTATTCGCCTCCAGTCGCTCCCATCTTATGGAATTGCTAAACATCACTTGTGAATTTAGCAATTCCATTGGAATGGAGCTGGGGACGGATAATTGTGCGGTCGTCCATGTTGAAAGGGGAAGGGTTGCTAACTCTGAGGGCGTAGATTTATCTATGCCCGTCAACTTAAGGACCCTTTCCGAGGCTGAAACATACCGATACCTGGGTATGTCACAAAACATCGGTATCGATGAGGCTGGTATGAAACAGTCAGTTTGCGACACGTTTTATGCACGCTTGACCAAAGTGCTTAACAGCCTTTTGTCCGGTGTGAATAAGGCACACGCATATAACGGTATGTAATATAAGCATGTAACGGTACGCTCATGTATACCTTTGGCATACTCAGGTGGACTCAGACCGAACTTAACACCCTGGATAGAAAAGTCCGCACTACCATGACGTCCCATAAGATGCATCATCCGAGATCGTCAGAAATGAGGCTGTACTTGCCGCGAAAGCATGGTGGGCGTAGCTTTGTGAGCGCGCTCACCATGCATAATCGCGAAGTGTGCAGCCTCCGTAATTACTTCCTGGCGAGATCGGATGATCCATTCTATAATGACGTCATTTCTAGTGATAAAGGACTTACCCCTCTAACCTTAGCCAACGAGCAAATGCAAGACCCGGCAGTACAAAGCATTTCCGACCGGGAGACCGTATGGAAGGAGAAGGAGCTCCACGGGAGGTACTACAGGGTTTTACATAAGCCCTTCGTAGATTCAGTCACCTCACTCAACTGGCTACGTTTCGGTGACCTTTTGGGGGAAACCGAGGGTTTTGTCTGTGCAATACAGGATCAGGTTATTAAGACCAATAACTATCGGAGATACATCCTAAAGGATGGCACCATCGAGGTCTGTCGAGCTTGTCGCCATCCCGGTGAGTCACTTAGGCATGTCATCTCCGGTTGTTCGGCGCTTTCTAACTCTGAATACTTGCACAGGCACAACCTAGTAGCCAGAATTCTACACCAGGAGCTCGCTCTGAAATACGGTCTCGTGGATCGGAAATTGCCGTATTACAAGTACTTACCGGAAGCCGTGCTCGAAAATGACCACGCTAGGCTCTACTGGGACCGGGCCATCATCACAAACAGGACTATTCTTGCGAACAAGCCTGATATTGTGCTGATGGACCGGGCACAGTCAAGGATATTTTTGGTCGACATTACCATTCCGTATGACAAGAACCTCGTGAAAGCCGAAACAGATAAGCGAACAAAATATCTGGACCTGGCTCACGAGGTGACCGACATGTGGGGTGGTCGGCCGGCCGAAATTATTCCTGTAGTCGTCTCTGCGAATGGGCTAATCCCAGTCAGCCTCTCGGGTCATCTGAGGCGACTGGGACTCCGTGACGGACCGCTCCGGGCTCAAATGCAGAATGCAGTAGTCCTCGATACCGCCCGCATCGTCCGCCGGTTTCTTTCCCTTTCCCCCTAACCCTCGGCCGTTTGGTCTCCCCTGTCGAGGGCCTCCATCTGGTTGGGCTTTATTTATTGTATTTATCTTTTCATTTTAATTTATAATTATATATTTATAGAACCCAACCAGATGAGAAAACTATATAGATACCCCACAATAATAATAATAATTTATTTAAACTTTAACTTCAGTAGTACATAAATAAAAAAAAGTCTTACATGAGATACATTACAAAAATACTAGTGAAGGGTGACGTTCTGTTCTCCTTGCTAGACTAAGACTCCTTGCATTCATTGTATTTAGTTGTTTCGCGTTTATCTAAAGTTTCCATGCAATTCTTATAATCAAATGTCGATAAAACTGTCTTTAATTCACTGGACGAATTGTCTATGGTTTTGTTTATGAAACATAGATCAGTACGTTTTTGCTTAATCACCGTTATTAAAAACTTTTTTATTCGCCTGATTTAAGATCTTAGCGCTTCCTCGAATGTCTTTTTTAGTAGATATCTTGACACACGTAGGAATGAGATTATGATCTCTGCATCTCTTCAAGAAATTTAAAGCTGTTGTGTATCTTGCGCGCTTGGTCTATAGATCTTCTAATCGGCGTATTTTATTTGCTATTTCCAGTCCGTACTGGTTTACATAATGATTTCTTATATTTACGCGGACACTATACATTGATTAAAACTACTTTTACGGATTTTATCGCGTTTTATTTATATTAATTTTAATACCCGACGTTTCGGGTGCTTTCCAGCACCCATGGTCATGGGGAACTGAGGTGACTGACGTTCCGATATCAAAGTTAACCCGGAGTACCTTCAGCTTTTTTAATTATTGTTTATGGTCCGATCTACGCAGAATGAACTGACGTATTTCCTGAGGTCTTGCAGTGGTATGCTTGGGTTTAGTTTTAATTTTATTGATTATAGGATCCCAAGCAGGTGGTAGTACCCAGCCTCCTTCTCTATTGAAATTAGGATGTTTTTTTAATTTCAATAGCCTCACCGTATCATCCTTGGTAGAAATTGATGTTCTTTCGCGAGGATTTGTGGTCTACCATATCTGATGTAATGGATGGGGCCATCTAGAATATGATCGCAAACTGCAGACTTCCCGGAACGTTGATACTTCACGTCAGCTGTGTGTTCGTTTACGCGGGTTCTAACTGATCTTTTTTTTGCCCTATTATTGAGAGACCACAATCACAATCAAGCTTGTACACTCCTGCATCTTGTAGAGGAATATGACACTTGACGGATGGTAAGAACTGACTAATCTTCTTCGGCGACTTGTAGAATGTTCTAATAGAAGCTTGCTTCAAGATGTAGCCAATCTTGTCTGTGACACCTCTGACATATGGTAGTATAGCAGACACACGCTCGACTGTGGTCGGCTTCACTCGGTCACTGTGCCGGAGGCGCGGGACCCGAAGCTTGTTGGCGTGCAGAACCTGCTTGACGTGCTGAAGCTCGGCGGCCAGGTGTTTGCTGTCACAGATCCCTCGTGCTCTCTGAAACAAAGATTTGCCCACGGTAGCTAACTGTGAAGGATGATGGTGACATTCACCATTTAATTATCGGTTTGTATGGGTCCTTTTCCTATACACAGTATGACCTAGAGGATTTTGGATGACTAACACATCTAGGAAAGCTAAGGAATTATTTGTCTCTAACTCCATAGTAAATTGAATTTTAGGAATTATGGAATTAAGATGTTCTAAAAATGCAGTTACTTTGTCTGATGGTAAAATTGTGCAAGTATCGTCTACGTACCGCTTGTAGAACCTTGGGGTAACAGGTGCAGTAAGGAGGGCTTTCTCCTCAAAGTCTTCCATGAATATATCGGCGACAATGGGTGATACAGGTGAGCCCATCGCAACACCATCTACTTGCTTGTATAACTCTTCCTTCCACAATAGATAGCCATACTGTGTATAGAAAAAAAGAACCATACAAACCGATACTTAAATGGTGAATCTCACCATCATCCTTCACAGTTAGCTACTCCGGGTTAACTTTGACATCGGGACGTTAGTCACCTCAGTCCCCCGTGACCATGGGTGCTGGAGAGCACCCGAAACGTAGGGTAATAAAATTAATATAAATAAAACGCGATAAAATCCGTAAAAGTAGTTTTAATCAAAATGTATACAATTAGAGGGACCCGTGAGCTACTTTCATAGGTTCTTGATAGCATTCAAACACTACATTGTAGTATCATGAATGCGCTTGATATGATTCAAGGACTGATGTTGCATAACAGGAATGTTTAAAAGTAAACTGATATGTAATGAAAATATAAGCCTATTGTTATTAAATATTTGATTTAAAATGTCTCAACAC